TCTCATATCCTTCATTGTGGGGTGAAGATGATGAAGTACGTGATATTACAGGTAAAGTAGTAATTGGACTTCCAGGCGCGGACGATGTATAGAGAGGACTATGTGGATAATTATTTTTAATACTATTGTTTATAGATAGGCGAGGGCTGGCTTGTTGAGCTGACATTGTATTAATGGTGTCAGTGCTGTTCGCTTTATCGTGAGTTGGAACAAAAATGCCTTTGGGAGGTGGTTTCGGCTTCTTTGATGAGGTTTTTGAACGCGCTGTTGATCGTGTAGATGATGGTGGTATTGATGGTTCCACTCGTAATGACTGGAAATCTCTATCAAAATGCGAAGTTGGCAAAGGTTGAGACTTATCAGCATTCTTGTCTGGTGAATTAATTAGCCTTGAAGTAATTTTCTTTGTCGTCTTTTTTATTATTGATTTTATCAATCTTGTCTTTTTAGTGTTTGTCCTCGTATAAATACTTTTTTGTGGCTTTGGAGCTGACGCAGATATACCAACATCTTCAGTTGATGACAAATCAATCTTATCTATGGTATTTGATGAATTCGATAATTGTGAATTATGTTCACTTGTCATTTCTATAATTTCTGGTATAACAGCGGGTGTGTTTTCGGGCAGGGTCGCATTGAATCTTTCTTGTGCTTCTCTATTTTCTCTGCGTAAATGAGCCTCAAGAGCAACGAGTTGTTTTTGTAGATCCACGTATACTAAAACCAAATGCATTTTGTTTTCTCTTGTGACTGGTGTCTGTAATTATTATAAAAATTTACAATAAGACCACTTTCGTTGCTTTTAATAGCTTAATAACTATTGAGTATATTTTCTCGAAACGCTTTTATCCTTAGGGGTTCAAAACATACCACCGAGTGGTGTACGATTATTTTTATAAAAAAAGAGAAATGTAATGATAAATACCATTTCTGTATGAAGAGCCAAATTCTCTACTGTTAGTGGGCTTGTATAACTCTTTGGACTTGAATTCCCATTTCTCTGGGGCCATGTCGACGAAGCATTTGTGTTCTCGGTCATTGCAAGATTAAACGTAAGGTAAAGAGACGTTTACAGTCACGTAGATTTTTTTGATTTTTTGCTAAGAAGAAATAATGCAGCCTGTGCATACCTTTTAACTATAAATGCTAGGACGTCAGCAAAAAATCTCATGATAAAAGTTGTGGTTTATGGGACATACGATAATTAAGAAGTTTTCTAATTTTGGTCGTAATTGCGCCTCAGCAACTAACGCACATATGCGCAGTGTAACCCAAAGTAATTATATATACGCACTGATTAACGAATCAAAAACATTGATTCCACTTACTGATGCATAAACCCCCTATTTTTATGAATGTACGCAACGACAAAAAGGTGAAACCTTATTCAAAACCGTTTACTTATTGATCCTTTTTTAAGCTATTCTCGTGTTAATTCGAGCTAACTTCTCGAAAACTAAAGTGTCAATTTCTTTTTCAAAGCCATTTAAGATCTATAATAAAACCTTATACGTTATCAGTTAGATTAAATCATCTGCACGAATCTGTCAAATAATTTTTTTTTTTTTTTTAACTTCTAATATAATTTAATATATTAATAAAATACATTGTGAATATTTTTATTTACAAAATATCATAAAAAAAGTTAATTTTAATTATAAATAATAATAATTAATTTTTTATTATTTTTAAGAAACAAATAATATTAAATACATATAACTTTTATTAAGTAATTTATATTTAGTTGTATATACTATATAGAACAAAAATAATTGGAATTATATTTTTTATTATATTCAATGAATAATTATTGAATTAAAATAAAATTTACAAAATACAAAGTGTTGCAAAACTTTTTGGAATTTTTGTTATTATTAACCAATTTTTAGATTTATTTTATTTAAATTTACAAATTAAAAATTAAATAAAATTTTTTTAAAAAAAGTAAAAAATCTATAGATTAAATTAACAAATTTTTAAATTTATTGAATTAAAATTTTGATTTCAAAATTTAATTTCAAAAAATTTTAAAAAACCTTTTTATATAAAATTTATATTATTATAATTTCTAGATTTTAAACTTTATTTTGATATATTATTTATTGAGTTTTATGTAATAGTTTTAAATAACAAATAAATAAAAAATTCCAAAAAGTTTTGCAACATATTGTAAATATAATAAATACAATAACATATAAATAAATTTTAAGTAATTTTTTCTAATATGCAAGTACAAATATAAAAAAGGTCTACAGATTTAAAAAGATTTTTCTGCAATATATAAATTATGTATACTATATAAATTATATTTTTTCTTCTTTACAAACTTTTTAAAAATTTTTTATCTACTAAAAAATCAAAAAACTACTTATCAAAATTCTTTATATCAGATAATACTAGAGTCTTATTGAATAGATTTTAACAAATTAACAGTCTTTTCATGTTATATATTCTCTTATATATCCAGAAGAATAATATAAAATTGAGATTTAAATTTAGGATAACAATAAGTTTCACTATAAAAACTAATCTTATGCTATATTTAATTAATATTAATAGTTTTACTTTTGATTTAATTATTTATCAATTAGTTTTATAAGAATATATGGGTAATTATTTTTGAAGGTGGACCAGAAATTTTCTGGTGATCCTAAATTTATATTATATACAGTATATTGGGTCCAAAAAAATCATATCTAGCATTTTCATTGCCTTCAAAAATAATTACCCATATATTAATATAATATCTTTTGTAAAATTTCCTAAAAGTTAAATAAAGATTTATACTAGCAAATTTAAAAAAAAACAATATCTCTTATATATAATAATAACAAGTTTAATATTGGTTTGTCTATACTATTATAGTAAAATTATAGTGAGTCAATTACTTCGATCTGTCTATGGTTCCGAAAATTGAAATCGAATAGAATCGAACAGAATCGCATGAAGTTTGGAACACTATTAAAAATGATGGTGGGGTATACCCCACCTATTAAATTTAATATAAACTTGAGAATCGAATACAGAATCAAATAGAATCGTTAGGATCCTTAGATCTGTCTTATATTATGTAATAATTGAAGTGGTTACTGTTCAAAAAAGATATATGAATTTGATCAGAGTTCATAATATTGATATATATTAATTTATTAATTTTGCATTTTAACTAATTATTTTATATGCAACAATTCTATTAACTATGTGACACTGGAATCAGTCATAAGACAATAGTTTATTAAATAAAAATAATTATTATTTAATAGTTGCACAGTGACTATTCTGATTCTTTTTACTTTTTGATTATTCTTAAGTTATTTATATATTTTTTTACTTTGTATCTATTATATTACTTATATCTAATATATCACTTATATCTAATATTAGGGATCGCAATGGATCGAATTGGACCAAATTTTAGCTTGATTTAATTTAATTTAAATCTGGTTTGAATTTAATTTTACTTGATTCGATTAGATTAGATTTGATTATTTTGTCAATAGTAATTTTTATTATAACATATTTATTTTAATTTAATTTAAAAAGCTGTTAATTGAAAATTTTTTATTTTTAAATATAAATTAAAATTACTGATCTATCTATAATCGGTTATTGTCTTTTATATTTATATATGTCTCTTCATAATTAGTATCATTTTTTTCACTATTTTTTTTTATTGAATTTTCAAGAGCTTGCAAAACATAAAAATCTGTCAATAATTGATTATGTAGGTAAATGACACAATATTTTTCTTTTTTTTCTTCTCTCCATTTTTTTACAACTGTTATTGTTTTTTTGGCTAAATTTTGTAACAGTCCACAAGTTACACCCTCTATTAGCAAGACTATAGTGCTATGCAATTTATCTTCTAGCCAACAGTAAAGAGTATTTCCTAAAAAAATATTAAAAATTTAAATCAACAATACTTTTAATTTTTAAAAATTTAACATTTTTTTTAAAAATACCTATCATTTCTACTTTAATTCTTCATTTGGCTAAATAAAAATTACCACTATCGAAATCTCCTTTCTGACAATCGAATTCACTACTATTGACAGGTTATATTCCTCTCAAACAGATTGCTGCAATCATATGTTCTAAAAAATTAATATCGATATGTACAAATTTATTATATCTCCAAGCTATATAGGCCTCACAAAGACCTAAAGGATGGTTTAAAAAATTTTTTTGCCATTACAAGAAATCATAATTCCTTTATCAACAGTACTATACTGGTTGCTATCCAATTGGTGAAGATCAAATTCTTCGATTTTTTTTTGGATACTTGAAGTTACATTCTTAAGAAATATATTCATAGTATAGTTAAAAAGAAAGCTGTTTATTGTTACAATATTTTTTTCTTACAAATATTGTTTTTCAAATTCTCACAATTCAACAGGTATGTTATAAACATATGTAAAAATTCTACTTTCTCTTGTTGAAAGATACCTGCAAGTATTTACATGTTGATAAAATTTAAAAAATCAAAAATAAATTTATTTAATATAACATACCCTGCTGCTGTTAAAGCACCTTGATCCAGTTTTTTTATTTCAGATGATCAGGCAACTTGTTGTCATAAAACAAACATATTGGCAATTGTGTTTCCCATAAGTTCAAGTACATCAGGGCCAATTCAGTTTCAGTATACAACAAGTATTACTTTATTTGAGATCTTGTCACAAACTATTATTTCTTCATTTTTTTTTATCGTCTTTACAATACAAAAGGTAACATCAATTATAGGTATATGGGAAGGCAGAAGATTTTGTTTCTTATAAATATACTTTTCTTTTATTTTTTTCTCATCATAATCAGGATCAGGGTTTAAAAATATAGTTTTTACAAAATGTACTTTGTCAAAATATTTTTGAGTTAAGAGATTTTCTTTAATCTGCAATACAATGTAATTAAATTAATACTGGTTTTAAAAAAATATATAAAAATTTAACTTACAAAATTTTTATGAATTTTTTTTATATTTTTTTTTGTATCAGCAATATTATTTTTCAAAGCATTGGCATTGGTTTTTATATCTCCTTCACAATAATTAAGGAACCTCAAGAAATCTCTTCACTAATTTTCTTATTTTTTATTTTATTATTAATAAATTTATAGAAACTTTTAATATATTTATATTCTGATAAGAATCGATAATAGGGTCAGAAATGGTCAGGCAAATACTCAAAAAGTTGTGAATAGGATTATTTAAAAAAGAAATGTATTTTATTTGGTCATTGTTTTTTTGTGACACAAGAAAATGCAAGGCAGTAACAAAGGTTTCTAAAAATAGATGGAAAAAAAACAATTTAATATACTGTATATACTGTATATAGTACTTTGTATACATGTGATAGAAATTATTGTATTGAATCAGATACAATTAAAAATCAAAAATTTAATAATTGAGTTAAATGAATTTTTTTTATAGTTGATGCAATTGATGCAATTGTGATGCAATACCGCAATTGTACCACAATTATTTTAATATGACACAATCATATGATTTTGTCGCAATTATATAATTTGATGCAATTATTTTAATATGATACAATTATATGATTTTGCTACAATTATTTTTAATTATGATGCAATCACATGATTTGCCACAATTGTGATGCAATGCCGAAATAGTGACACAATTTTTTATTGGTTAATAAATTTAATTTATCCCTTAAATCGTAGGGCATTTTTTTTATAACATTTAAAATTTTTTAACTAAAAAGTTGCTTTTTATTTATTTTT